GAAAGATCGGCTGGTGACAAATTCCATCAGATTTTTTTTTTCTTTTGTCTGGAGTGATTATTTTGTCTCCATTTAGGTAGGCCCTTTTTTTGGTGGTTGTTATAGGATCCTAGGTTGACAGTCTTTTAGCACTTTATAGATTCATGGTTCTGGATTTGATATCGGTTTGCGCAAACGAGCTGTAAACAATACGTTAAAAAAATGGAGAAGCTGGAATATGAGAATATGAAGATTTACTGAAGTGAAAAGGCGGTCATTCAAAGAAAGTGGATTATGAAACAGTTTGAGCATTATGACCGCATTTCAACAAACGTGCGTTACATACACATATGTGTAACATATATGAACGCGAATCATATATACATTGTATATGTATACTGTAATCCGTTTTATTGTCTCACTTTCGCCTCCACGGGAGCTTGTATTAATCAGTCCAGCGTGAACGGCGGCTCCCACCCTTGGGCCAGTCCACATCAGTGAGAACTGGGCCTCAGGCAGGGCCGCCCCAGGCATCCGCGAGGGTCCCGCAGTGCTGGCAGCACGGAGCCCGGCCCAGGGCGGGGGAGTTGGCCAAAGAGAGGAGGATTCCAAAATCCAAATACTCGGACCGAACCCTGGCAGGTGCTAAAGGCTGCGGCGGGGCAGAAAAGCAGAACGCTGGCTGGTTTTGCTCATATCACGAGCAGCGTGACGGTGACCAGGGTTGACAGAGCACCGCGCACCCGCGCGGTCAAATCCACCCACTCTGGCGCGTGGTCTGCGGAGCCTGCCTCGGCCTCAGGCTCCAGAAACCCAGCCAGGAACCAAGCGCCGCCCAGTGTGCACACCTGCCGCATTTCAGCAAGGGGTCGGGGGTCTGGAAAAGAAGCGGAGGCCCAAATTCTTGCCCGGTCTTCAAGACCCACTTTCTGGGGCGATGGGGAGAGAAGCCCAGCTTGGAGTCTGGGCAATTCGAGCGGATTAGAAGGGCAAAGCTCTGGAGAGCTCAGCTGGACCCTCCGAGGAGGGGCCCCGGGAAGATGGGACCGCAGGCGCCGGGAGAGGAGAGGGTACAAGGAAGGAACCGGCCTACCTCCGTAAAGCGAGCTCTTCTGTCTTTCTTCACAATCTTTATTTTTTGTTGTATTGTAATTCAGATAGATGAATAGATGGACGATGGAGAGGGAGAGAGGGAGGGAGGGAGCGAGGAGATGGGGAAAGGGCGGGAGAAAGGGGGTGGAAACCCCCCCCCCCCCCCACATCCCCCAAACTAAGAACCATTTGGAAACAATCAGGAAGTTGGAAGCTTCTAGACAATTTAACGCGGCAAAGAGTTCGCGGGCTTAGTAGACCCTCCCATTGGCGCGTGCATCCCCTGCGTGGGCGTGCCTGGGTTGGCGCCAACCCGCTAGTGTATAAGTACCCGCCCTTGGAACCTCCAGGGAAACGCGAAGGGGGCTTCGGACGCGCTGGAGCTAGAGACATCAGAGAGGGTCCCTTCTCCTAGCCTGGGACTGCGGAGCTCCCGTTTCTACCAGTGCTTCAGGATCTAGTCCAGCAGAGTCCCTTTCGGGCTGTAATTGGATGCCAGGTTAGAGAAGACAGCAGCACCCGCCACGCTCCCATGCTCCCCAGTCAGGAGTTGGGGTGTTGGAGGGTAGGGAGGGGCTGGCGTGGGGTGGAGTGGGGATATCTGTGCTTTTCTCCCCTGCCTGGGAGCCCAGCTAGTTTGCTCAGCAAGTTCCCTAAAAAGCCGGCTATGGAGGACTGGGTGGTGGGACGGGGGTGGGTGATGGGGGTGGAAGGCATTGGGGACGTCGGGGGCCTGCCCTGTGCACCTGCTTCCGCTGTAAGCTGGAGGAGCCCCTAGCCAGCGAGCCGCGGTTTAGGACCTGAAATCTGGCAGGCCACTGGGTCTAGTGCACCTTGGTGGCTCCAAGGGCTGAAGGTCTCAGGTTTCGGAATTGTAGTCTTGAGAAACTAGTTCTACAGGTGTCTGCATGAGTGACCAACCACTGTAAATTACTGTCCTTAATATAGGAGCTAAAAAGTAAAATTAGAATTGTCATTACCCTGTGGGGAGGCTTATAATCTAGAGAGGGGAGAAATGAGAAAAAATGTCTCCCTCTGGACAAGATGTGTAGACTACACGTGCTACCTGAGAAGGACAAAGAGCTCTGTGTTTTAGTTTTCCAAAAGGGCGTGTCTGTCGCAGCCCAATTCCCTTTCTTTTCTTTTTTTCTTTAAATTAATTTTTAATTTCTGTGGGTACATAGTAGGTGTATATGTTTATGGGTTACATGAGATATTTTAATACATCTCATGTAACCCATAATAATGTTTAATGTTCAATAATTACATCAGGGTAAATGGGGTATCCGTCACCTCAAGCACTTATCCTTTTAGTTACCAACAATCTGATTATGCTGTTTAGTTATTTTATTTTTGTAGGTACATAGTGGATGTGTATATATATATGGGGTACATAAGATGTTTTGATATAGACGTGCAATGTGAAATAACCACGTCATGGAGAATGAGGTATCTATACCCTCAAGCATTCATCTTTTGAGTTGCAAACAATCCAGTTACACTCGTTATTTTAAAATGTACAACTAAGTAATTATTGACTGTAATCACCCTGTTGTGCTATCAAATAGTAGGTCTTATTCATTCTTTCTAATTTTTTTGTACCCATTAATCCTCCCCACCTCACCCCTTCCCCTCCACGACCCTTCCTCAGGTAACCATCCTGCTCTTAGAACACAGTTGAGGCCGGGCGCAGTGGCTCACGCCTATAATCCCAGCACTTTGGGAGGCCGAGGCGGGTGGATCACGAGGTCAAGAGATCGAGACCATCCTGGTCAACATGGTGAAACCCCGTCTCTACTAAAAATACAAAACATTAGCTGGGCATGGTGGCACGTGCCTGTAATCCCAGCTACTCAGGAGGCTGAGGCAGGAGAATTGCCTGAACCCAGGAGGCGGAGGTTGCGGTGAGCCAAGATCGTGCCATTGCACTCCAGCCTGAGTAACAAGAGCAAAAACTCCGTCTCAAAAAAAAAAGGCATCTAAAAAAGAACACAGTTGTTTTGATTTTTAGATGCCACAAATAAGTGAGAACATGCAATGCTTGTCTTTCTGTGCCTTGCTTGTTTCACTTAACATAATGATCTCCAGTCATTGATGTTGTTGCAAATTATTGGATCTCATTCTATTCTATGGCTAAATAGTACTCCACTGTGTATATGCACATCATTTTCTTTACTCACCTGTTGATGGATGATTAGGGTGCTTCCAAATCTTACTATTGTAAACAGTGCTGCAAGAAACATAGGAGTGCAGATATCTCTTGGATATATCATTTTTCTTTCTTTTGGGTCAGTACTTAGGAGTAGAATTGCTGGATTGTGTGGTAGCTCTATTTTTAGTTTTCTGAGGAACCTCCAAACTGTTCTCCATAATAGTTGTACTAATTTACATTCCCACCAACATTGTATGAGGGTTCTCTTTTCTTCACATCCTCACCAGCATTTGTTATTGCCTGTCTGTTGGATAAAAGCCATTTTAACTTGGGTGAGATGATATCTCGTAGTTTGGATTTGAATTTTTCTGATGATCAATGATGTTGAGAACCTTTTCACATGTCTGTTGGCCATTTTTCTTCTTTTGAGAAATGTCTGTTTAAATCTTTTGCCCATTTTCAATAGGATTATTATATTTTCCCCATAGAGTTGTTGGAGCTTCTGGTTATTGATGTGTTCTGGTTATTAATCCTTTGCCAGATGGGTAGTTTGCAAATATTTCCTAGCATTTTTTGGGTCTTGTCACTTTGTTGATTATGTTCTTTGCTGTGTTTTAACTTGATGTGACTCCATTTGTCCACTTTTGCTTTGGGTTGCCCGTGCTTGTAGGGTATTGCTCAATGAATTTTTGCCCAGATCAATGTCCTAGAGATCTTCCCCAATGTTTGCTCGTAGTAGTTTCACAGTGTGAGGTTTTAGATTTAAGTCTTTAGCCCATTTTGATTTGATTTTTATATGTGACAAGAGATAGGAATGTAGTTTCATTCTTCTGTGTATGGATATCCAGTTTTCCCATGCCATTTATCGAAGAGAATGTCTTTTCCGCAGTGTATGTTCTTGGCACCTTCGTCAAAAGTGAGTTCACCGTCGATTTTCCATGGTGTATATGTGTCACATTTTCTTTATCCAATCTATCATTGATGGACATTTGTGTTGATTCCAAGTCTTTGCTATTGTGAACTGTGCTGCAATAAATATACATGTCCATGTGTCTTTATAACAGAACAGTTTATAATTCTTTGGATATATACCCAGTAATGGGATTGCTGGGTCAAATGGTATTTCTAGTTCTAGATCCTTGAGGAATTGCCACACTGTCTTCTATAATGGTTGAACTAATTTACACTCCCACCAACAGTGTAAAAGCATTCCTATTTCTCCACATCCTCTCCAGCATCTGTTGTCTCCTGACTTTTTAATGATTATCAGTCTAACTAGTGTGAGATGGTATCTCAATGTGGTTTTAATTTGCATTTCTCTAATGACCAGTGATGATGAACTTTTTTTCATATGTTTGTTGGCTGCATAAATATCTCCTTTTGAGAAGTGTCTGTTCATATCCTTTGCCCACTTTTTGATGGGATTGTTTGTTTTTTTCCTGTAAATTTGTTTAAGTTCTTTGTAGATTCTGGATATTAGCCCTTTGTCAGACGGGTAGACTGCAAAAATTTTCTCCCAGTCTGTAGGTTGCCTCTTCACTCTGTTGATAGTTTCTTTTGCTTTACAGAAGCTGTTTAGTTTCAATAGATCTCATTTGTCTATTTTGGCTTCTGTTGCCATTGCTTTTGGTGTTTTAGTCATTAAGTCTTTGTCCATGCCTTTGTCCTGAATAGTATTGCCTAGGTTTTCTTCTAGGGTTATTATGGTTTTAGGACTTACGTTTAAATCTTGAGTTAATTTTTGTATAAAGTGTAAGGAAGGCATCCAGTTTCAGCTTTTGGTGAATGCTACTAGGTCTGGCACTCACTCTTCAGGGCAGTGGACTCCCCTCTGGCCCAGGTGGGTCCAGAAATGCTGTCCAAGAGCCTACTTGGTGCTCTAATCCCTGTGGCTAAGCTGGCACCTAAGCTGCAAGATGAAGTCCCCTATACTTTTCCCTCTGCTTTTCTCAAGCAGAAGGAGTTTCTGCCTGTAGGCACCACAGCTGGGATTGTGCTGAGTCTCACCTGAAGCCAGTAGAGTCTCACCCAAGACCCACGGCATATTACCTGGATATTGCTGCTGATTATTGAGGGGCCAAGGAGATGCAAGACAGAAGTCCTCTTTACTCTTCCCTCTTCTCTCCTTAAGTAGAAGGAAGGGATCTTTTTGGAGCTGAGAGCTGCACTGCCGGGGGTTGGGGGAGGGGTGATGCAAGCACTCTCTTAGTTGCCCCAGCTGGTATCTCAGTTGGTCATGTGCTCTCCAAGTCTACTGGCTCTGAGCACTGCTCAGCACTAGGATATGCCTAGGAGTTGCAGTCCTTGTGGCCTAGAATGCCTTTCAAGTTTATTTAGAGCTCCATAGCACTTCATTGGGCTGGTCCAAATTCAGCCTCCATGGGCAGGCATAAGCTGGATTCAGCCTGGTTTTGCTTTTCACTGTAACAGGGCAGCACTGAGTTCAATGCAAAGTCTCACAATCGCTGTGCTCTCCCTCCCCCAAGCACATAGATTTCTCTGCACCAAGTGGTCATTGCTGGAGAAGGGGGATGGTGGGAGGAGGCTTCTATTACACCATCTTACTCTGCCCTCCCATTTCCCTTTCTGTTCAGTTTCTGTCTGAGGCTAGCCAATCCCATGTGATCTAGGGGAGATGGCTGGGAGGATGGAAAGAAAGGGGAAGTAAAATAAAACAAAAAATTAAGAACTACCCAGAAGCATACAGAAAGTTAGTTGCTTCTAGACAATTTGACATTGCAAAGTTTTCCCAGGCTAAGTCTTCACCTTTTAGGGAGTTTGCTGAGCAAACTAGGTAAGCCTCCCTGGCAGGGGAGGAATGCACAAATGCCACCCTCTCACACCCCTGCTTAGGGATGGTTGTCCCTGCATGCCCCTGTCAGAGTTACTGGTCCATCAGGGCTCCTGCAGGAGTAGATCCTGGGGCATGGGGAGAAATGGGGACAGCTAATAAATGGAAACCGCACAGCTAATAAATGGCAGAGCTGGGTTTGAAGCTAGGAAATCTGAGTCTTAATCTTTGAACTCTGCTATGTTTGTCTACATAGGTTTCTGTATACAGAGTCTTCAGGACTAATTTTGGTGGAAAGAGATAGCAGGTGGTGTTAATTCACTGCGTTGGTGGGAACTCTGGCTACATTGAAAAGTTTGAGAAAGCTATCCTGTAAATCTACTAGAATCAGGTGCTTTTATTTCTGAAGTTCTTTGGTAAGTGTCCTGAGTTTCTTTTCTGAATTCTCAATTTCTTATTGACTTAGTTTAATTTTATTTAGGGATTTCAAATTTATATGGGACAATATCTCTACCTTATAAAGAATGTGCAAGTGATACTCATTATAATTCCTTTAACCCTAAGGAAAGAGCTAGGGATAGAGCTCCCCAAACCTTTTTTTTTTTTTTTTTTGTCTGTAAAATAATCTAAGCAGATGGTGATGTTGCTGTTTAAATACAGTTGCCAATAAAAAAACTATCAACAAAATTGGCTTTGACAGCAAAGTGTATGGGGCAGAGAAAATATTTAACTTTGAAATCCCTATACATCAAAAGGAATATTTTACAAATAACCTGACAAAGATGTTTCAGTGGTCTTGGAATGCAGAATGAAATGTTGAGAAATAGAGATTTACAGGCAAGGGTCTAAACTAGGCATGGTGGCCTTTTTTTTTTTTTTTTTCGAGACAGGTTCTTACTTTGACCTCCAGGCTGGAGTGCAGTGGCACGATCTTGTTCACCACGGTCTTGTCCCCAGGGCTCAGGTGATTCTCCCACCTTAGCCTCCTGAGTAGCTGGGACCACAAGTGAGCACGACCACACCTGCCTAATTTTTGTATTTTTTGAGAAGATGGGATTTCACTGTGTTGCCCAGCCTGGTCTCAAACTCCTAGGCTCAAGTGATCTGCCTGCCTCAGCCTCCCAAAGTGCTGCGATTACAGGCGTGAGCCACCGAAGGCGGGCCAGCCTTCACTTTTATCTAACAAATTTTTTCTAAATGTCTTCATACCTCAGTCATCTCATTCCCTGTCACCTGCATCAACATCCACCTTATCTGTCCAGAGTTACTAGCACCCACTGAGACTTGTAATTGCAAGCTTTTAGTATAGGATGGATTTTTGTAGAAAAGGAAAATAAGATTGTGATAGTCTGCTTCTACATATTGTATATATCCCTGATGACTTCAAAATAGGTTTTGAATTTACTGATTGTTGTAAATTTTATTTTAATAATTTCCCAATAATGATGCAAGGTATTTGTTGATTGTATTGACCTTTAAAATTATTCTGTTTTAAAAATAATTTTCAAATAATAATATGAAGTATTTGTTGATTGTGTTTGTTCTTTTTAAATTTCATTTTTAATGCCAAGATAAGAAACGATTTATTATATAGAGAAAAAAATTTCTTATCCAAAATATAGAAATCTGTACACCTTTGCCACAATTAATATACATGAACTGTACAAATTTATACCAGTTCATAATTTACCAAATAAAAGATGACTAACAAAGTTCACAAAATAGATGGTGGTTTGTGGAAAATACTTTTACCCAATTAAATACAAGGAAAGTTACAAACCAGACCTCCACTTCTAAAAATAAGAAGTTTACTCAGTCTTAGAAAACTACAAGCTAGCAAATGTACAGAGAGCTGGCTGGTGCTAACACCACAGTTAAGACAGTGTCTTTTTAAGGGTCTTTTTAAAAGCCTGTTGTTACGGCAGATTCTGGTCACTTGCTATTTTCAAGGCCAAAAACACAATATAAGGTCTGACCATTTCCCCAGGTCTGTCCTATTTGTCTTAAGAGTGCAGAGTCCAGGTTTCAGGGACTTCCGTGATAAAATCCTGGAGGATGGCTTTTAAAAAAAAGTTGTAATAATTCAGAATTCCAGAAATGCAAAGAGAAAAAAACAACAAAAATTTATGTCCCACCCACCTCTGAGATGTATTTGGTTCAGGTGCTTTTGCTTCTGAACTTGCAGCATTGTATATATAGTTAAAGGCTTCTTAATTTTCTAATCTCATTCTTTTCCATCCTTATTTGTAACCTCTGTAAAAAAAAATGTGCATCTTTATTCACTATGTTTTTCTCCTTTTACTAAATACAAACATTTATTATAGTTTTTAAAATATTTTATCTAAATGCTATTGTATATTATTTTCTGCAAACCTGCTTTTTAAATTTATCATCATGCTTTGTGAGTTTATCTATATTTATACTTGAAGATATGATTTATTTTATCTGCTGTATTAATCTTTCATTGTAAGTTGTTTCCTGTGTCAAATATCTATCTTGTTCATTATAATGTCTGTTTCAAACTGTCTCCATTCTATTATTAAAATGTTTTTGGCAGGCCGGGCGTGGTGGCTCACACTTGTAATCCTAGCACTTTGGGAGGCTGAGGTGGGTGGATCATCTGAGGTCAGGAGTTCAAAACCAGCCTGGCCATCATAGTGAAACCCCATCTTTTAAAAATAAATAAATAAATAAAATGTTTTTGGCAGCTGGGCATTGTGGCTCATGCCTATAATCCCCAGTGCTTTGGCAGACCAAGGCAGGAGAATTGCTTGAGCCCAGGACTTTGAGACCAACCTGGGTAACATGGGGAGACACTCATCTCTACAAAAAAAAAAAAAAAAAAAATTTTTTTTTAAAGAATTAGTGGGGCATAGTGGCCTGTAGTCCCAGCTACTCAGGAGGCTGAGGTGGGAGGATCGCTTGAGCCCCAGAGTTTGCAGTGAGCTTCGACTGCACTTTACCCTGGACGACAGAGTGAGACCCCGTCTCAGGTACACAAAATGTTTTTGTCCTGTTTTTATACCAAGTGCCTCTGTCTCAGGGGTGACTTTATTTCCTATCTCAAATGGAAAAGTGAAGCTATCAGAAGGGGGACTCTTTCAGCTTCCTCCCACCAAAGTGATAAGCCCACCTTCGCCCATGCCCGTTATCTCCTTTTCTCCTCCTCCTGACCTTCTGCATCCTGGATCATATTCCTTCCTTACCTTTCTTTTCAGGGCCTTTACAGCGTCAATCATCCCAACTTCCTTCTACATCTTTAAATTTTCACTTCCCTACTGGCTTCTTGCCATCAAAATATTTTCAGGCCTTTCCCATCTTAATAAAATTCTTTAACTTCTTTTCCTCCTGCTACATTTCTTTTTACCTCTCTCTTTTATAGCTTGATATAGTGAACAAGTTGTGTATATTTGGTGATACTGTTTCCTTACCTCCCATTCATTCTTTGACTCATTGTGAAAAGGACAATTAATATAGGTTCCTTTACTGAACACCTGTGAACCAAAGCATGGTGTTAAATCTTTTTTGTAAATTATTCTCAATTAATTCTCATAACGGGCATATTAAGGCGGATGTACCATGTTTTATAGGTAAGAAAACAGAGTTAGAAAGATTGAATGTCTTGGTTAATATCATAATACTTTTTTTTTTTTTTTTTTTTTTTTTTGAGACGGAGTTTCACTCTTGTTACCCAGGCTGGAGTGCAATGGTGCGATCTCGGCTCACCGCAACCTCCGCCTCCTGGGTTCAGGCAATTCTCCTGCCTCAGCCTCCTGAGTAGCTGGGATTACAGGTACGCGCCACCATGCCCAGCTGATTTTTTGTATTTTTAGTAGAGACGGGGTTTCACCATGTTGACCAGGATGGTCTCGATCTCTTGACCTCGTGATCCACCCGCCTCGGCCTCCCAAAGTGCTGGGATTACAGGCTTGAGCCACCGCGCCCGGCAATATTATAATACTTTTAATGACGAGTGGAATTCAAGCCATCTCCATTAACTCTAGTCTCTAAGACCTTAGCCCCTAGTTTATTGCCTCTGGGTGCCCACTGCCCAGGTTCTGAACAGTATTTTTTAAAGTCACCCATAACCTTAATTTTATTAAACCTATTAACACTTTCCAGTCAATACCTAGCTGTACCTGTCAGCAGTATTAGACACCTTGGCTCTGTCACTCCCTGCCTTTGCAGTCTCAGTTCTTCATTATGTCATAGATCTGAGACCTCTGTGCAGGTGACTTTGTTCTGGGCTTCCTTAATATCATATACCCTTGGTTTTTCTCCTACCTCTGGTTTTTCACGGTCAATCCTCTCTATAGTCTTTTTTTCAATGTTGTCTCCTTTTACTCATTCCCTAAAGTTGTTGTTCATTGGAACATCGACAATCTAAACTGAGATAATCTCGTGCCACAGTGCACATGCCCTTTATGTAATCCACTGCTTCCATTCTTCAATGCTGATAACTTCACCTGGACAATTCCAATGCATTCTTTAGGTCTTGATTAAATGTTACCTCTGCCTTGGAAGTCTTGTTGACCCATAATCTCCAGATTAGTTTAGATACGCCGTTAGCATATTTTTCCTCTTATAGTTCATATCATACATGATGTTAAATACTGATTTCATCAGCACTCTTTCCTGCCAGCCATTCTCCTCCTAAAGAGAAGGGATTGCTCTTGTCTTGCTTGCTAGTCTATTGCCTTCTCTCAGCACATATCAGACACAGAATAAATATCCTTTTAATAAATGAATTGCATGCATGTAACAATCCATTTCTTCTGATAGTTTCAGCTGTGAGTTTGATATGGAGGCAAACCGGTGCTCCCTGCTGGTGGAACCATCTTATCCAGACCTGGTCATCAATGTAGGAGAAGTGACTCTTGGAGAAGAAAACAGAAAAAAGCTGCAGAAAATTCAGAGAGACCAAGAGAAGGAGAGAGTTCTCCGGGCTGCGTGTGCTTTATTAAACTCAGGAGGAGGAGTGATTCGGATGGCCAAGAAGGATGAGCATCCCGTGGAGATGGGGCTGGATTTAGAAAAGTCTTTGAGAGACCTTATTCAGTCCTCAGATTTGCAGGCTTTTTTTGAGACCAAGCAACAAGGAAGGTGTTTTTACATTTTTGTTAAATCTTGGAGCAGTGACCCTTTCCCTGAAGATGGCTCTGTCAAGCCCCGCCTTTGCAGCCTCACTTCTTCATTATACTGTAGATCTGAAACCTCTGTGCTTCCCATGGATTCAAGAGAAGCATTCTGTTTCCTGAAGATCAAGAAAAAGAATGCAAAAATCTTGGAAGAAGGACCTTGTCACAAAGTTCAGAAGGTTATACACCAAGAGTTCCCTAACACAGATCCTGCTGATCGAGTTTTCCAAAAAGACTATCTTGAATATGGTGAAATCCTGCCTTTTCCTGAGTCTCAATTAGTAGAGTTTAAACAGTTCTCTACAAAACACATCCAAGAATATGTAAAAAGCATAATTCCAGAATACATCCCGGCATTTGCAAACACCAGGGGAGGATATCTTTTTATTGGAGTGGATGATAAGAGTAGGAAAGTCCTGGGATGTGCAAAAGAAAATGTTGACCCTGACTCTTTGAGATGGAAAATAGAAACGGCAATATGCAAATTACCTTGTGTTCATTTTTGCCAACTCCAATGCCACATAACCTTCACACTCAAAATCGTGGATGTGTTAGCTAGGGGAGAGCTATATGGCTATGCTTGTATGATCAGAGTAAAGCCATTCTGCTGTGCTGTGTTCTCAGAAGCTCCCAAGTCATGGATAGTGAAGGACAAGCAGGTCTGCAGCCTGACAACCGAGAAATGGGTAGGGATGATGACAGACACAGATCCAGGTAAGGGGGAGAAAGCCCCTCCTTCCCTGTCCTTTCTACATCCTTGGCACCTCCCATGTTAAATTTTCCTTTGCTGCCTATGACTTTGACCATCTTATATCCACTGAACACTTTATTTTGAATCCCCAAGTATCCTACTTTTCATATGTGAGAAAATTTTGTTGGGGGATTAGAAACCTAACTCATGTGTCTTACAAGTGGCAACTTTTTTTTTTTTTTTGGAGACGGAGTTTCGCTCTTGTTACCCAGGCTGGAGTGCAATGGCGCGATCTCGGCTCACCGCAACCTCCGCCTCCTGGGTTCAAGCAATTCTCCTGCCTCAGCCTCCTGAGTAGCTGGGATTACAGGCACGCGCCACCATGCCCAGCTAATTTTTTGTATTTTTAGTAGAGACGGGGTTTCACCATGTTGACCAGGATGGTCTCGATCTCTTGACCTCATGATCCACCCGCCTCGGCCTCCCAAAGTGCTGGGATTACAGGCTTGAGCCACCGCGCCCGGCCTACAAGTGGCAACTTTTTATCTCAGTAACTTAACAGAAAATTATTTGAGAATGGCCACCCTTGCAGTGATGTACTGGAATGACTCTTACTGGCTTTAGGATCAATTATTAAATTTTCAGGAATTCTTGAGCTAGTTGTGAAACATAGCTATTACTAAAAATTAGGTTACATATACTTGCACCTAAATAAATTATATCAGAAACAAGTGTAATAAATTCAAACTCACCACTTCCTAATTATTTGCTATATTTTGCTATTATCTTTGCTTGAGAGATTATTTACATCTATTGTATTTATGTGGCGGGAATATCATGAAATGGAGTGCCATGGTGCGTTGCTTTCCAACTCTGTATTTAGTGATGATCACATTAGGAGCTTGAAATTGTCCATGGTAGGAAGATTTATAACACAGAAACTGGCAGTTGGCTACGAATGAGGGATCTCTTCTCAATTAGACCTGTTTAGTAAACCATCACCAGAATAGTACTGCTTTTTGGGTTGCTTGTTTGAAGTATTAAAAGTGCTTTGGGCTGGGCTTGGTGGCTCACACCTCTAATTCCAGCATTTTGGAAGCCTGAGGTGGGTGGATCACCTGAATAGGAGTTCAAGACCAACCTGGCGAAACCTCGTCTCTACTAAAACTATAAAAATTAGTCAGGCGTGGTGGTATGCGCCTGTGGTCCCAGCTACTTGGGAGGCTGAGGCAGGAGACTCACTTGAACCTAGGAGGAGGAGTTTGCAGTGAGCCGAGATTGTGCCACTACACTCCAGCCTGGACAATAGAGCAAAATACTGTCTCAAAAACAAAAATAAATATCAATCAATAAATAAAAGCCCTTTGGATTGAAGTTTGCTATCCCTTTATACTAGTACCTCTGCCTAAATTAAGATGCAGTTTATCTCTTGATCCTTGAGGACATTGTTAATTTTGTAGCTCAGGATAATTTGAAAGTAGCTGAGGGACAAGCATGGTGGCTGACACCTATAATTCCAGCACTTTGGGAGGCCGAAGTAGGAGGATCACTTAAGCCCCAGAGTTTGAGGCTGCAGTGAGCCATGATTACACCAATGCACTCCAGCATGGGTGAGAGTGAGACCCTGTCTCAAAAACAAAAGAACAGAAAGTATTTCAGGGTGATGAGGGTCACGGGGATAGGGATGTATTCAAGGTTTGTCCTCAATACCTTTCATATTATTCCATGTCTCTGTTTATTCTGTTGATAATTTGCCACTTCTTCCACTCATCACCATGTACTCATTATGCTGTATACCAGCGGCTATAATCTGCTCTGCCCCTCCACTCCTAAGTTTTAAATATTTCTTTCCTTGCAGCACTACTGCTTCCCAAACATGTTTCTATATTTACCCCATCATGCTATAATTTGGTGGGCTAGTGGGCTATCTCAGTGTCTCTATAACACCTGAGAATACCCCAAGTCTGGAGAAATACAGAGAGAAGAACATAAAAATTGGGACACAGTCTTCTGAGTAAAGTGGATGGGTATTTGGAAAGGAAATGTTATAAAACTGACTTCAATCTCCAAAGCACATGAAAAAGTTAAACAATGCACTTTATAACGTCCTTTGATTTCACACAGTATCTCATTATAACTTCAGGAATAAGCAAAGGTGTCAGAATGGCACCCAGGCTGGAATGCAGTGGCGTGATCATAGTCCACTGCAGCTTTGAACTCCTGGGCTCAAGTGATCCTCTCGCTTCCATCTCTTGAGTAGCTGAGACTACAAGCATGAGCTACTGTGCCCAAGCCCTAAGCTATTTTTTAAGTGTGAGTAACAGTAATTGCAAGTCAGATATGAGATTATATTTAACAGAGTTGAGACTTAGGTTCAGGAGAGGTGGGGGCAGTTGGAGAGGGGATGTAAAAGAAGATACACGCACAGACAGGAGTACTAAAAGAATGTGCTAGGTATCATAAGGGTGTACAAACAAAATGCTATCCAGATACAGAAAATAAAGAATTATACTGAATGGAGAAATACATTTAAACTTCCAAATAATGGCTTTTCACTGGTGGATTTTGGTGACCTTGATAAGCAATAAAGGCACTTATCTAGACAGAGTGAATGGGGAGTTATTTTGATATTATTTCTCAAGTCACACTATTTAGAAAGTCACATATTCCACCTACTGATAAGTCCTCTTTCAGTCATGAGGAGATAAACTAACATGTCAGAATAACAGGAATTTTCTTTCTTTCTTAAGATCTTGTACAGTTGTCCAAAGATTTTGAATCTCAGCTGAGTCTATCTGGTGGGCCTCCCCTTAGCAGACCAGTGTACTCCAAGAAAGGCCTGGAACATAAAAAGGAACTCCAGCAACGCTTATTTTCAGGTAATTATGGTTTGTCTACTCAACACCAACCAGTTTCTATGTTAGGATAAAGGGAGATTAAACTATTATATTTATTTTGTAAAATCCTGAAAGTATGCTCTGCACACCCATATGTAAGATGTGATGATGTTACAATCCTATTGGTGATAAGTGGTTTAGAAATGAAACCTCAGGCCGGGCGCGGTGGCTCAAGCCTGTAATCCCAGCACTTTGGGAGGCCGAGGCGGGTGGGTCACAAGGTCAAGAGATCGAGACCATCCTGGTCAACATGGTGAAACCCCGTCACTACTAAAAATGCAAAAAATTAGCTGGGCATGGTGGTGCGTGCCTGTAATCCCAGCTACTCAGGAGGCTGAAGCAGGAGAATTGCCTGAACCTAGGAGGCGGAGGTTGCGGTGAGCCGAGATCGCGCCATTGCACTCCAGCCTGGGTAACATGAGTGAAACTCCGTCTCAAAAAAAAAAAAAAAAAAAAAAAAAAAGAAATGAAACCTCATCGACCCCACTAGCTTAAGCAGTATCACACATAGAATTCAGGAACATTGTTGGGAAAACTGGCTAGCAATGTGCAGAAAGCAGAAACTGGACCACTTCCTGACACCTTACACTAAAATGAACTCCAGATGGATTAAAAATCTAAACATAAGATCTAACATCATAAAAAACCCTAGAAGAAAACCTAGGCAAAACCATTCAGGACATAGGCATAGGCAAGGACTTCATGACTAAAACACCAAAAGCAATGGCAACAAAAGCCAAAATAGACAAATCGGATCTAATTAAACTTCAGAGCTTCCGTACAGCAAAAGAAACAATCATTAGAACAAACGGGCAACTAACAGAATGGGGAAACATTTTTGCAATCTACCATCAGACAAAGGGCTAATATCCAGAAACTACCAAGAACTAAAACAGATTTACAAGAAAAAAAAAAAGCAAACAAACCCATTCAAAAGTAGGTGAAGGATATGAACAAACACTTTTCAAAAGAAGACATATATGAGGCCAACAAACATATGAAAAAATGCTCATCACTGGTCATTAGAGAAATGCACATCAAAACGACATTGAGATATCATCTCACACCAGTTAGAATGGCGATCATTAAAAAATCAGGAGACAGGCCGGGCGCGGTGGCTCAAGCCTGTAATCCCAGCACTTTGGGAGGCCGAGGCGGGTGGATCACGAGGTCAAGAGATCGAGACCATCCTGGTCAACATGGTGAAACCCCGTCTCTACTAGAAATGCAAAAAATTAGCTGGGCATGGTGGCACGTGCCTGTAATCCCAGCTACTCAGGAGGCTGAGGCAGGAGAATTGCCTGAACCCAGGAGGCAGAGGTTGCGGTGAGCCGAGATCGCGCCATTGTACTCCAGCCTGGGTAACATGAGTGAAACTCCGTCTCAAAAAAAAAAAAAAAAAAAATTTAAAAAAAATCAGGAGACAACAGATGCTGGGGAGGATGTGGAGAAATAGTAACACTTTTACATGTTGGTGGGAGTGTAAATTAGTACAACCATTGTGGAAGACAGTGTGGCAATTTCTCAAGGACCTAGAACTAGAAATACCATTTGACCCAGCAATTCCATTACTGGGTATATACCCAAAGGATTATAAATCATTCTATTATAAAGACACATGCACACGTATGTTCATTGTGGCACTGTTTACAATAGCAAAGACTTGGAACCCAAATGTCCCATCAATAATAGACTGGATGAAGAAAATGTGGCACATATACACCATGGAATACTATGCAGCCATAAAAAACAATGGGTTTGTGTCCTTCGTAGGGACATGGATGAATCTGGAAACCATCATTCTCAGCAAACTGACACAAGAACAGAAAACGAAACACCATATGTTCTCACTCATAGGTGGGTGTTGAACAATGAGAACACGTGGACACAGGGAGGGGAGCATCACACACTGGGGTCAGTTGTGGGGGGCCAGGAGAGGGACAGCAGGGTGTGTGGAAGGTGGGGAGGGATAACATGGGGAGAAATACCAGATATAGGTGACGGGGGGATAGAGGCAGCAAACCACCTTGCCACGTATGTACCTATGCAACAATCCTGCATGATCTGCACATGTACCCCAGAACCTAAAGTACAATTTAAAAAAGACTATTTGGTCTTGTAGTTCCCAAATCTGGCTGATCACCATAAAAGGATGCATATCTGAGTCCCTAGTCCACTCATAACAAATGGAATATGTGGGGAGAGGGGCTTTTAGTATGCAATTTTATCAAACCACCCTCATGATTTTAGGCTCATTTAGATTGGAAACCTTTTATCTGGTCAAACTAGTCATACACTGCACTAGAGAGCAGCCAAAAAACTGCCTATCCCTGCCAGATTTTCCGGAGGAATGGTAGTTATAAATATGAGAAAGGAATATAATCAAGGTCAAGATGGAAAACAAAAAAATAAAATAGAGATGGATTATGCATTTCTTCTTGTTTTTTGGGTTTAGGACAATCATGTAGCACAAACAATATTTTAGGACCAAGGTCAATGACTTGTCTGTACTCTTATCCCTTGCTCCCATGATAGGCTTTGCTGAGGAATCCGTTGCTGTCTTCTTTGTGGAATCCCAGAGAGGGAAAGCCACTTGCTTAAACCTGTGACCACTCTAGTGTACCTGGAGTGGTGGCATTAATTGAACATCCATTCTGGTCCTTGCCATTACTGTTATGTAGAGTATCAAATAAATGAAAGAGACACTTCTTATTGTCACATAATTTCCTTTGGAAGCATGCTCCATTATACAATTAAAGAAAAAAAAAAAGACCTATGCAATGATGAGGTAAATAAACATCAAGTGTTTTAGTGACTTTTACCATGTATCAGGCAGGAGTAGTCTGTGACTTGCGGGGCAGGGCAGAAACAATAGAGGATCTGATGTCCAAGAGACTTGGGTTCAGACTCTGGCTCTGCCATTTCCTAGTGGTGTGATATTGGGCAAGTCACTTGATCTCTTTTGTTTTTTATTTCTTGAAACAGTATCTTGCTCTGTCACCCAGGATGGAGTGCAGTGGTGCAATCATAGCTCACTGCAGCCTTAAATTCCTCAGCTCAAGCAATCCTCCTGCCTCAGTCTCCTGAGTAGCTGGAACTACAGGCACTGCACCCAGCTCTCACTTGACCTCTTTCAATCCTTATTCATGCATATGAATATGGAAATAAATATGTCTTCCTTGGAAAATTTGTGAAGACCGGAGAAATGGGCAGATTTCCTGGTACAATCAACAAATGATCTATTTTCTTATTTTACATTCCTTTGGTTTCCAAAGCTTCGCTCAAATTATCCATTCTAAGATGTGTGTTTCCCCATATTTTAACATCTCTACAATCTGGATGTGTCTTACAATAGATGCCATCTCCTGCTCACTGTCATTGAGGTTGCAGGCATAATCAAGTTGTGTGAACACCTGGTACAAATGAGAAACATGAGCAACAATGAACCATAAACAATTACCAATAAAATCTGGGTAATTTCTTTTGAAATTACACTACAAACATTGATTTGGGTTTGTACTCTAACACTACCGCAACAGGACAATTATCTTTCCCCCCCTTTGGAACCCATGATCCTTGAAATAAGTGCATAACCCTCCAATGCAAGTATATTCTCATGTCACACAATTATTTCTTGTTTGCCTGTGACAAAGGAAAGACTTTTGTGATAGGGATGAGCCATATGTTGATCTCTAAGTGATGCAAGAATTCTGCTTTGGGAGAGATAGCTTTAAGGATCTCCCAGTCTAGGACTGCAGGAAATTCCCTGCCAATAAAGGCTTTAACATGACTCCTTCTCTGCAAATATGGCATCAAGGAGTACCTTCTTCCTGGTGGGGGGTCTCCTGCTACTCCCATCAGTGGACCACTTTGAGATTCAGGTATGTTGAAAGTAGAAAGGGGAAGAGAACCAACATTTCTCAAGAAGCTGCAATGAGGCAAACATTTTATGTTATTTCATTTCTTTTCCCCCATAGGAAATGTGATATTATTAGTTTTGTTTTACAAATGAGACAACAAAGTCTTAGGTTAAGGAATTTCCCAGGGTTATAAGTTTAAAAAAACACATGGGTTTAGACGATGTATGCCAGATATTCCAGGGTTCTTTTCCTTTATGATTGTAATATAATAATATCTATAAAAGAATATTTGAAGCATCTGTAAGTCATCATCAAATTAATCAGTTAATTATAATTAGTCATCATAATCAATAGGACTATTCCTCATCCCCTAATTTATCATTCTTTTCACATACAGTCCCACTGGGACATTTGCAATATACTCCAGAGTCCCTCTGGAAGGACCTGACCTCACAGCATGAAGGACTAGAGGAGTTAATAAATGAGCAAATGCAACCTTTCTTTCCGGGAATTTTGATCTTCTCTAGAAGCTGGGCTGTGGACCTGAACTTGCAGGAGAAGCCGGGAGTCATCTGTGATGCTCTGCTGATAGCACAGAACAGCACTCCCATTCTCTACACCATTCTCAGGCAGCAGGATACAGAGGGCCAGGACTACTGCACTCACACCGCCTTTACTTTGAAGCAGAACCTGGTGAACATGGGGGGCTACACCGGGAAGGTGTGTGTCAGGGCCAAGGTCCTCTACCTGAGTCCCGAGAGCAGCACAGAGGCCTTGGAGGCTGCAGTGTCTCCGATGCATTATCCCCCGTCCTATCGCCTTGCGGGCACCCAGCACATGGAAGCCCTGCTGCAGTCCCTTGTGATTGTCTTGCTCGGCTTCAGGTCTCTCTTGAGTGACCAGCTTGGCTGTGAGGTTTTAAATCTGCTCACAGCCCAGCAGTACGAGATATTCTCCAAAAACCTCCGCAAGAACAGGGAATTGTTTGTCCACGGTTTACCTGGCTCAGGGAAGACCATCATGGCCATGAAGATCATGGAGAAGATCAGGAATGTGTTTCACTGTGAGGAACAGAGAATTCTTTACGTTTGTGAGAACCAGCCTCTGAGGAACTTCATCAGGTAAGCAGTTGGATCTTATATCTCTAAGTGTTATTTAATCTAGGTTTAATTTTTTCTGCTAAGCCTCCTTGCTCCTTGAGAATTAAGTGGTAAAATCATTTGTGACAACAGACTGTACAGGGGAGCATGATGGAGTCATTTTCTCCCCTTATTCAGTTAGAACAAACCTGAATGTGTCATTTTAATTTTTACAGTAATAGAAAGATCTGCAAAGCAGTGACTCGGAAAACATTCCTGAAAAATAACTTTGAACACATTCAACACATCATCATTGACGAAGCTCAGAATTTCCGCACTGAAGATGGGGACTGGTATGGGAAGGCAAAAACCATCACTCGGAGAGTAGAGAATGGCCCAGGAATTCTCTGGATCTTTCTGGACTACTTTCAGACCAGCCACTTGGATCACAGTGGCCTTCCCCTTCTCTCAGAACAGTATCCAAGAGAAGAGCTCACCAGAATAGTTCGCAATGCAGATCCAATAGCCAAGTACTTACAAAAAGAAATGCAAGTAATTAGAAAGAATCCTTCACTTAACATCCCTCCTGGGTCCCTTGAGGTACTTCTTAAAGCCGAATGGTCCCAGGGTGTTCAGGGAAACTTAAAAATTAAGGAACGCTTTACTGTAGAGCAAATAGTGACCTATGTGGCAAACAAATGCAAGCGCTTCTTTGAAAGGGGCTATTCTCCTAAGGATGTTGCTGTGCTTGTCAGCACTGCAAAAGAAGTGGAGTGCTATAAGTACGAACTTTTGAAAGCACTGAGGAAGAAACGGGCTGTGCAGCTCAGTGATGCATGTAACATATTGAGTGATCACATCATGTTGGACAGCGTCCGGCGATTCTCAGGCCTGGAAAGGAACATAGTGTTTGGGATTTATCCAAGGACAGCTGAATCATCTATCATACACAATATTCTGGTCTGTCTGGCTTCCAGGGCAAAACAACACCTATATATTTTTCTGTGTGGAGACTGTTAAGAAGAACTCCAAACCAAAATGAGACGAGGCAATTGCCATGTAATGTCTTTGGTTGACAGTCCGCTAATGGCCGGAACGCTTTCTTTTTAGTTAACAAGTCAGCTAGAGACTTGGGTCAAGCTGACATATAGAGTTTGGAACTCCCTTATCTCAAACACTTCTTTCAGAGCTTCCTTCTTCAACTATTTCCAGCAGCTATGGTGTACCCCCTTTGTGTCCCCTGACTCTTCCAGCTGGAAAAACAGTGGTTTTCTTTTTTCTTTTTTTTTTCTTATTGCATTTTAGGTTTTGGGGTACATGTGAAGAACATGCAAGATTGTTGCATAGGTACACACATGGCAGTGTGATTTGCTGCCTTCCTCCCCATCACCTACATCTGGCATTTCTCCCCATGCTCTCTCTCCCCAACTCCCCACCCCCTGCTGTCCCTCTCCTGTTTCCTCCCCCGACAGACCCCAGTGTGTGATACTCCCCTCCCTGTGTCCATGTGTTCTCACTGCACCCACCTATGAGTGAGAAGGTGCAGTGTTTGATTTTCTGTTCTTGTGTCAGTTTGCTGAGCACGATGGTTTCCAGGTTCATCCATGTCCCTACTCATCATCACTGGTCATGAGAGAAATGCAAATCAAAACAACATTGAGATACCATCTCACGCCAGTTAAAATGGAGATCATTAAAAAATTGGGAGGCAACAGATGCTGGAGAGGATGTGGAGAAATAAGAACACTTTTACACTGTTGGTGGGAGTGTAAATTAGTTCAACTATTGTGGAAGACAGTGTGGCGATTCCCCAAGGACCTAGAAATAGAAATTCCATTTGACCCAGCAATCCCATTACTGGGTATATATCCAAAGGATTATAAATCGTTCTACTATAAGGACACGTGCACACGAATGTTCATTGCAGCACTGTTTACAATAGCAAAGACCTGGAACCAACCCAAATGCCCATCGATGATAGACTGGACAGGGAAAACGTGGCAGATACACCATGGAAAACAGTGGTTTTCTAAAGGAACTTAAGCTATCCTGCACAACATGGACCTGTGTCTTGCACTCTGGGTAAAAGCTATAGAAACAGGAAACTGATCCTGTGGCTTTTCTTTCTTCCAGGGCTGGACTTCTTTTTTAAAGTGACTTCATGTAGGTTATTGCTTTAAAAAATTTGTTCAGAATTGTTTTCTGCAGAAGCATGGTCTGTTAGCAGCTTACTGGCCATAGCAGAAGCTATTGTTTCCTGAATTTGTGACACTTATCTTTGCTGCAATCATTTAGGGCTTGGGAGATTCCCAAGATAATTCAATAACTGTCAGATGAAAACTTTTGTCAGAAAAAAGAATACTGTTATGATTATTTAATCCTTTAAAATTGTGATCTCCAGAGCTTGTTCTCAGAATGGCCCAAGCCATGCCTTAATTGTGAACATTAATGGTCACTTTAAAGAGAAATTATAGGCCAAGATGAAATGAACATAAACCTGTTTGCTCTGGCTTTCAGTGGAAGATAATATTAGAGACCAAAATCTGATTCTAAAGGTGTGTATCAGCCCTGAGGTGAACTGAACTTGGGGAAGATTGTCTTTAGAAATCAATGAGTTCATGTTTTAACTTAGCTTGGTTCTGCACATTGCTCTAACACACCTAGTTAAGTTTTATGTCATTCTTGAACTGTGGTTTTTTTTCTATTTGCTTTCATAGTTTGGTGAGCCATTGTTATAGACTGAATGTTTGTGTCCCACCCTCACCCCTACATCCCCATCTTGAAGCCCCAACCTGCAGTGTGGAGCTGGGGCTGCTAAGGAAGTTATTAAAGTTACGTGATGTCATGGTGGGTCTCTGTTCTGCTGAGACTGGTGTTCTTACAGGGAGAGACCCCAGAGAGCTTGTTCCCTCCCTCCCTGTGCACGCAAACAAGAGGGCGTGGGAGAACACAGAGAAATGACAGCCACCTACAAGCCAAGAGGAGAAGCCTCACAATGAAAGCCCCGCTGCTGGCACCTCTGTCTTGGACTTCCAGCCTCCAGACTGTGAGAAACAAATTTCTGTTGTTTCAGCCCGTCAGTCTCTGGTGTTTTGTTATTGCAGCCTGAGAACACAGCTGTATGATTATTTGTCAAATGAAAAACACTGATACTTAACAACGCTAATGCAATTACTTATGTGCTTTTTCGATCTCTACAAAACATTCTAAAACGCTAATTAAATACTAACAATAAAATATTTGCATAACTAATGGAAATTAAGAGTCTATATGCCCAATATTTTACTTATTGGTAATCCTACTCTACTGATTTCCCCCCATGTTTTAAGTTTTGAACTTTTCTGCCTTTCTCTTGTCTTTCTGTGTCTAATCATGGAATTCCAATTATCTAGCCTTGAAATTGTAGGCTCTCCTAACTTAAGCAGAATCTGACAGATCAGCAAAATAAGGAGAAAAATGTTTCTGCTTTCTGACGGCATTAAATCAGATACAACTCAGCATTAAAAAGCTATCTTTGTAAATGTTGTTCCTAATAAATGAGTCTTATAATATCCCTGGTCTTTGGAGTTGTTACAATGTCTTTGAGAGTAATTCTTTAAAAGCCTAATTTGATGGTTCTATCTCTTTATGATTTATTGCCCTACTAATATTTCAAACAATATTTTAAAATGAATACTTAGAAATTTTTGTTTAGACCAAAGAGGATTGCTGATATTTATTTCTCTTTCCATATGAATGGTGAAAGGTTTAGCTTACAGACCTACTGCATTTCGGTTTTAAATAAAAAATTGAGTGTTTGTGTCTCATTAAACTGAAAAAAATAGTCCCGTAAAATAAATGATTAAATGGGGGAAAAGGAGAAAACAGAGGCCAGTGACTCCATGAGAGGGCCAAAATGAGCCAGTAAAAGGTTAATCAACATTAACTTTCAAATTTTTTAAAGAGATAAGATCTCACTATGTTGCCCAGGTTAGAATGCAGTGGTGCAGTCATAGCTCATTATAGCCTCGAACTCCTGGGCTCAAGTGATCCTCCTGCCTCAGCCTCCCAAATCTTTAGGATTATAGGTGTGAGCCACTGCACCAGGCTCCATTGGATTTGGATGGGTGCCTGCTTGTCTCTGCATTCTGGCTCTAGAAATCTGGGACCTTCTTCATTAAAGATCTGAAAGTCTACCAGCCATTGTAAAATGAAACAAAATGTTTTTATATTTTAAATTAACTTTTTTGTTTTAGAGTAGTTGTCCAGTTACAGAAAAAGTTACAAAGATAGTACAGAAAGTTCCTGTATCCCCTTCATTTAGTTTCCTTTTTTTTTTCTGAGACAAAGTCTTGCTCTGTCGCCCAGGCTGGAGTACAGTTGTGCGATCGCAGCTCACTGCAGCCTTTAACTCTTGGACTCCAGTGATCCTCTCACGTCAACTAGCTGAAAAGCTGGAACTGCAGGTGCATGCCACTACACCTGGCTAATTTTTAAAATTATTTTTGGTAGAGAATGGGGTTTTATTATGTTGCCCAGGCTGGTCTCAAATCCCCAGACTCAAGTGATCCCCCTGCCTGGGCTTCCTACAGTGCTGGGATTGCAAGTGTGGGCCATTGCAATGGCTAGTTCCCTCTTTTATTACTGTATTGTGATTCACTCATCACAACTAAAGAACCAACCTTACTTAGTACATGACTATTAATTAAACTCCACATTTCATTTGGATTTTCTAGTTTGTCTCTTTCGTCTATTCCAGGATCACATCCAGGACACCATACTACATTTAGTGGTCGTGTTTCCTTAGCTTCCTCTTCCCTGTGATGCTTTATTTTTGATGACCTGGACAGTTCTGAGGAGTACTGGTATTTTGATAGACATTGCATTGAATCTGTAGATTGCTTTGTGCAATATGGTCATGTAAATGACATTAATTCTTCTGATCCATGAGCATAAGATGCTTTTCCATTTGTTTGTGTCATCTACAGCTTCTTTAATCAGTGTTTTGTTGTTTTCCTTGTAAAGATCTTTTACTTCCTTAAAGATATTCCTGGGTATTTTATTTTATTTTATTTTTTTCTGTAGCTGTTATAAATGGAATTGCCTTCTTGATTAGGTTATCTGCTTGATCATTATTAATATACAGAAATGCTAGTAAATTTTGTACATTGATTTTGTATTCTGAAATTTTACTGAATTCATTTATCATATCTAGAGTTTTTGGAGATATCTTTAGCAATTTGTAGATATAAGATCAAATTGTCAGTGAACAGAGATAATTTGACTTCTTTTCCAACTTGGATACATTTTATTTCTTTCTCTTGCCTGATTGCTCTGACTAGGAGTTCAGTACCATGTTGAATAGGAATGGTGAGAATGGACATCTTTGTCTTGTTCCAGTTGTTAGAGGGAATGCTTGTAACTTTTTTCTGTTCCGTATGATGTTGGCTGTGGGTTTGTTGTGTATGGCCTTTACTATTTTAAGGTCGTTATTGCTAAGTTTGTTGAGGATTTTTATCATGAAAGGATGCTGACTTTTATCAAATGCTTTTTGTGCATCTATTGAGATGATTCACGAAGGATTTTTGTATCACTGCCTGGCAGATGTTTTTCATTCCGTTAAAATGAGCCCAGGCCACGTTTTCTCAGATAACGAAGCAAATTTAAACACTAAACTGCAATGTGAGAATACATAGCATTGCTTTTACCAATGAAACCAGAAAGAACCCCTCTCTAAGCTATTTAGGAAAAGAACATGGATAGCAAATAAGTATTATTTGCTATCACCACAGTCAAATTGCTTACCTAGCAAATTTACTCCAAGGCAAACTTCCTCAAATACCAAGAATGTTGCCACAATAAAGCACATTCTTAATATTTTCCATGATCTTCATAGTCACAACTACCTTACGTAAGCCAAAAATTCTTCATTGGTCTTGAAGCAACTCTTTAAAGGCAATTCATACTGTTTATTTATGAGTAGATTTATACCTCAGATCCAAACTGGCTGCATAAGAATTATTTAAACCCAAGCAGGACAGTCACAAGAAACACTAGCATATCTTTGTGTTTTAGGTGGTTATAAGCTGGTAAGACTCAAGATAAATTATTTGCAAGTCCGAACCACTGAGGATCTGTGTGTTTCTCTGAGATCCCAGAGAGAAGACCATAATCAAGACACATATGCTTCCATGTTCCGTTCATGTTCACTAGCTTTAGTAGCATGCATGGGATGGCCCCTCCACCCTGCATCTTTCTATGCCATAGACCCAGGTCCACTACTAAAAAACTCAATGCTTTTTGAGGAACAAAGCACAATTTCCTTATTTATTTATTTACTTACTTTTTTTTTTTACTCATTTGGTTGAGAC